AGGCGCGCGGGTGCTGTGGCGCGCATGCGCGGGTGCTGAGGCGCGCACTGGTGCTCAGGCGCGCGGGTGCTGTAGTCCTGGCCGCAGGCTGCCTGGGAGGTGGGAGTATAGCAGTCAGGGCGGAGGCGCCAGCCGCGGAAGTGCCGGTGGAGAGCTCAGGGAGGCCACGCGTGTGCTTGCTCGCCCCGGCTTTTATCCCTGTTGCGTTCTCTGCCTGACTGTGGTTACGTGAGGGTGTGTTGCCGTTGCTCACGCATTGCTATGTTCAGCAAAACGGCTCTGCTCGAAAGCCAAGCTGTGAGCCCGCTCGGCTCTTCTGGGCCTGAGCGGCTGAAATGCATCTTGCTTGTCCCCTGGCCTTGTTTGTTGCCACTTTATCGTAATCTTCTGACGGTAACGATATGTTCAGTCTGTTTCATGAAATTCTTTCAGAGCTTAAAAACTAGAAATAGTGTTTTATTGTCCTTATCTGGCAGTGCTTCTGTGAGACTGAATTTGGTCTGTGGCCTTTGTAGTTTACATGTGCGTTATGGGTCTGAGGGAGAATGCTGTGCTAAATCCTGTTTATACTTGTGCTACAGGGTTGAAAATTCAAGTAATGTCGATGAACTTATAAGTTAGGTATTTATAGAATTATAAGATATCTGATGTTGCCGCTTATTGATCAGTTGGGAGTTCAGATGTTGCTAAATTAAAAAATAATTGCATCATACGATGGAAAAAAAATACCTTCGTCATTCCAGGTCTATAGCAATTATGTTAACATGTTTTGTTTTCAGGCCTCGATGCTTCCCTTTCTCTTCAGTCTAAGAAGCAATCGCTTTTTGCCAGACTGGAAAATATTATTGTAACAGATGTCAATCCTAAGACGGTTCATAAAAAAGTAAGTTGTACTAAATAAGTGCATTTTTTTGGTGCTTGCATGTAAGATTCAATTTTTTTTTTTTTTAATTTAGGACAGGGTGTACAGGGTGTTCAGGGTCTCACTACGAAGATCAGACTCATAGTGATCTTCCTGTTTACAGCCTCCCAAGTGCTAGGATTCCAGGCGCGCGCCACCACGCCCAGTCTCAGTTGCCTTTTCAGTAGACCCCAGGGGCAGAGCCAGCAAAGCAGGCTGATTCAATTTTAAAATAGTATATTTATAATTTAAATATGCTTCCTTAAAATGTTCCTTTTTTTTTTTTTTTTTTAGAAATCGTAGGTTTTATTATATTTATTTTTGTGGCTGGCTCAGCCCACCCTAGGGGCGGGGCTGGCACAGCATGTGGTGCCGGGGATCCAACTGTGATCCTTTCGCTTGCCCAAGCAGGTGTTTTACACGGCTGAGCTCTCTCGCTGGTCTGAGTTCGTTCTTTATAAAGATTTTAAGCCCTTTTCCAAGTAGTGTTTTATTTTGTCATTATTTTGGTAGAAAGAACATGTTCGTGTCTGTTTTCCAGGCTGTGTCCATAATGGGAAATGAAGTTTTTCGTTTTAACTTGGATTTGTACCCGGACGCCACAGAAGGGGACTCGTACACTGACGTGTCCAAGGTGGATGGGGTGGTGTCACTCAGTGTCGGCTGCATTCAGATCGTCTATCTTCATAAGTTCCTCATGTCGCTTTTGGTAAAGTCGCTGTTTACACACTAACTTTCAGCTTAGGCAATGAGTCTGACACTTAGACTTGCAAGTGTTGCACACCATGCATTTTAGGTGGTTTTGGTTTTGATTACACACGGTATTTACTTGCGAGGGTGAAGCAGATGTCTTTAGCACTTGAAGTTGGAATCATTTAATGCCTTCTATATAGGACTGGAGTTATTTGTGCAAGAGTAAATACTGAAGGTGCATTCTTGAAGACTAAATGATTGAGAGTGGTTTTTCTTCCTTCCCGGTCCTCAGCTGTGAGCTTGGGCCTCAGACGGCAGTCGGCCTGCAGAGGGCTTAGCAGTAACTCCTCGCTCGCTCTCACGTCCGGCTGCACCGAGAGTTAGGCGCAGAAGGCATCGGCTGTGGTGCGGCACCCCGCGCTGGCCATCTGTCTGAATTTCTCCATGTTTGCTTTGTGTCTGTAGAACTTCCTGAGCAGTTTCCAGGCAGCCAAAGCGGCCCTGAGCGCGGCCACTGCGCAGGCTGCAGAACGGGCCGCCACCCGCGTGAAGGGCCTGGCCCAGAGGAGCTCTCGCTTCTCGGTCCACGTTGACCTGAGAGCGCCAGTCGTGCTGATCCCGCAGTCGTCCACCTCTGCCAACGTGGTCGTGGTGGATCTCGGCCTAATCAGAGTGCAGAACCGGTTCCTTCTTGTGGCTGGTGAAGACACCGCGAATCCTCCCGTGCTCGACAGAATGCACGTGCAGCTCACGGAGCTGAAGCTTTCAAGGTTTGTGATGTCCGCGGTTACAGATTGAAGTACTGGGTTGCTTTTTTCTTTCCTTTTTGTTTTGAATGTATTTAGTACAGAATCTACAGAGTCTCATTACACAGATTGGACTCGCAGTGATTCTCCTGTTTTTGGCCTCCCAAGCGCTGGGATTGCAGGCGTGCCACCATGCCCAGTCCCAGTCTCAGTTGCCCAGTGTGCCCTGGCGGCAGGGGATCGAACCCCTGGCTCCTGTGTCTGCCTAAGCAGGCACTTTAATCCGCAGAGCTACCTGCCTGGCCAGGATTACTGTTTTTCTGTGACACTTTATCACCATTCAAGTTCCTGCTCAGCGTATTTCTGTCTCACCATTGTTTTCATCCGCCCTTTATTTTGAAAGTTTCCTGGCGGGGGCGAAAATGAGTATACATGTGCATGTTTCTCCTAGATTCATCAGCCTGTTATATAGCTGTTGTAATTTATTTACATCGGTATTATAAAAGGCAGTTTTTGCTGAACCTAATGGTCCATAAATATTTTAGCACGTGTGTCCTATAAACAAAGAAATTCATTCTCTTACGTTAACTAAAATGTATTTGCTGAATTCTGGAAGTTTAGTATCAGCGTAACCTTGTCTCATGTGCAGTCTGCACTGAGGAGGTAGCAGCAGCTGCGGTGACGCTGTGTGTGGTGATTTCCCTCCCGTCCAGAATCACTCAGGGCGTCTTTGTCCTCGTACTGAGGGGGGTGTGTCCTGATGGCTGCCAGCGTAGCTCTTCTGCCTTCCTCTGTCGCTTACGATGATGCTGGCTTTGAGAGGTACAGTCTGGCTGTTCCGTGAAACAGCTCTTAGTCATTTGAGCATTTCTTCCTGCGGTTTGATTGGTCTCAGGTGTTTTTGGCCTGAAAGCCGTGTAAGCGGTAACCTTAGTGCTCACACTGACGTATGGAGGCACAAAAAGATTTAAAGCTCATGACCTATTGCATCCAAAGTGACTTAACTATTTATACTAAAAAAGCAGTGCTTTGTAAGACAGGATCAGAGAATAACCCTGGAGAATAGCTTTATAGGACACGTGGTTTGCTGCTGTTTCCTTACTGTCGTTTCCCTTGGTCTCCATACCAATGAATGCAGTCGTGCATCACCGCACGGTGGGGATACCCATGAGGGATGCACTGCAGGCTGCGTTGTCGTTGTGTGAGGGCCGGGGAGACAGCTCAGCAGCGCAAGCACCTGCCTGGCGAGCACTAGGTCCCGAGCTCGACCCTGGCACCAAAAGCGAAGAAAGATTGTTGAGTGAACGTCCCAGTGCGCACTCGCAGACGCCTTGTGAGTGGAGGCCCGTCACTCGATGTGGTCAGTTGCCGTCAGGATCCACAGCCAGGAAGAGATGAGGAGGCTCTTGGGAGTGGAATACAACAAATTGTTAAATTTTGTTTTGTAAGTAGAGGGAATATATTCTAATGTAGTAAAAGTATAATACATAAACAAATCATACAGTAATGTATGATCAAGAATTAAATCTACAGGAGGGGTCTTTGTTTTTTTTTTTTTTTTTACTGGGGATTGAACTGAGGACCCTGAGCTTGCCAGGCAGGTGCTTATGCCACTGAGCCGTCTCCCCAGCCCGTGTCTGCATGGTCTTACATGCTGGAGTTCTATGCGATTGCTGTGCAGTGGGCGTACTCACAGCAGGACCGCTCCAGCTCCACACGTCGTGCTTGCACAACCACTTCCTGCAGCTATGACCTCTCTGCACTCTAGTGTTGTGGAGATGTTGCGGTGCTCATGGTCCACTGTAACCATGTCTTTGAACAACTATTTGGCGATTCCAACTGTAGTAGTCCTGAAGGAGCAGTTTGATAATTTTTTGTCCATCTTCAACAGTGTGAATTTCTTTTTAAAATGTGTTCAGTTTTTCATGTACTGTTCAAAGGAAGAAATTTTCTTAATAGTTCATGGCTTATGACATATATTAATCTGTCCCTCCTTGTGGATCGTAAGTAATTATAATTCAGCTTTGAACACATTCAAAGCAGGGCTTAGGCAGGTGACTGCTTGGCTTGGCTGTTTTGAAAGTCCGTTCCCACCGCACATGGACATGCCTGGTGTTTCTGTTCTCCTTCAGGACGGTGATCCAGCCAGGTACCTCCCATCCTGATATTCAGCTGTTACACCCGATTAATTTGGAGATCTTTGTAAATCGGAATCTGGCTGCAGATTGGTACCATAAGGTGCCTGTCGTGGAAATCAAAGGATGTCTTGATACAATGAATGTAAGTGCGTGAGTGGGGAAAGCCCTTCACGACTGGAATGTTAAGTCCTGAAGACTTTCTTGGTATGAGTCCCCATGAAAGGCATGCTGTTCTACAGAACGGTGTAAGAGTTTCAGGAAGACGTATTTCAGTTAAGTCATTGTCTATTTCAGTGCAATTTAATCTTCAGGTAAGTCTTATTTAGCTTTTAAATTTTCTAAACATACTCTCAGATTGAGACCTGTGTGCACATGGTTATCATAGTTCCCCTTACGCTCTGTGTTGTAGCACACTTCATTTTTAGGGTTACCTAAGTAGCACCTCTAAGCTGGTTACAGCATTGAGAGAAGTGCTGGTTCTTAACTCAAGAAAACCATTTTGTTTCACATGAATTATGTTTTTTTTTTTTTTTTTTAAATGAATGGGTGAATTTGCGGAACAGTCATTTAAAAAAAAATCAGATCTCTAATTGTAATTGCCTTTCCGTAATGATAATGTAAGTTGGGCATGCATGTAGACCTTGCCCGGCTCTCTGTGGCCAGCCAAGGGGGACAGTGTGTGCCAGAGCGATGTGGAGCTCCTGCCAGCTCTGGCCGGCCGAACCCATGGCCGGGGGTCCCACAGGGCTCCGACATTGTCCTCTGCTCGCCCCGTCCCCACGCTGGGAAGAGTGGCTATGACTCTGCTCTCTGTGTCTGCCCTAGGAAATAAAACAAGAAGAAGAGGATGTAAGTTAAGATGGTGATTTTTACAATGTTGACTTACATTATTTCCCTTGTTATCTTTGAGAAAAAAGCATGAAATAAGCAGTGAACACAAAGGTAGTGATAAGGTAGCTTTTCAGTAATGTTAGGGCTCTTTTGTCCTTCAGGCTTGGCTTCTGTATTAAATTGTTTCATTTTAAAATGAAATATATCATTTTTAACAATATTTCACAGGTTAATCTAAATGAAGAAGATGTCAATGTCTTGTTTAGAGTACTCACGGAGAATCTTGGTGAAGCTCCTGACGACTTAGATAAAGTGAAGCCAAGAGAGCCTGAGACAGGTGAGAGGCTTGCAGTAGGTGGCGATGTGATGCATCTGCTGTACAGTGTGGTCGACAGCACAGCGACGCTGAGCGTTCTTTGTTGGGTGGTCCTGCACATTCAGCCCAGCGTGTGGGGTATTAGATACACACAGTCGCTGGGCTACGTCTGCAGCTCAGCCAGAGAACGTGAGGTAAGCAGGTACGTATGTGCTAGCCGAGGTTTGCATTTCCAAGGAAACGAACAAAGTACTGCCACCTCTATGTGTGGCTGCGGGGCAGGCTGGTATGTGCCCGCTGTCCCCGCACTGGCAGGCTGAGGCTGGAGACGTGGCATGAGTTCCAGCTGGGCCGCCTGGTGAGCTCAAGGCCAGCCTGGACTACAGAGAGAGACCCTGTCTAAGAAAATGAAAACAAAAGCAAACAGCACATTGTGCTTAAAGCTGCTTGACTCTTATTAGTTAAGCAGTTACTGTGAAGGGTGGCCATTAGTTGTGGAGTCCTAGAATAATTATTAAGTTTGCATATTGAGTTGGCAGTAAGCTGTGCTAGCATACTCCATGCATATGATTTTTTAAATTAGGTGATAAACTATCACTCTTCCCAAAGATACTGAACATTATATTGTAGTAACAATGTAAACAAATTTAAATGTTCAGTTCTGGCCCTTTTGACTCAACCACTACACATATTTTTCAAGCTGAGGTGTGTGTGTTCTATACAGTGTCTCATGCACATAGACATTGCTGTAATCTTTAACTCTTTTCAAACAGCATCTGCGTTTGTAAACTTCGTGTTCTTCCTGAGATGTCAGTATCTCATGTGCCTCTCTTTATCTGTTGGTATGCTACATATGGGCTGTCTTCGTCTTGTTTTGGTAGTACTGAAGGTTGAGCCTGCTGGGGGTGTACACGGACCTACCTTCTCCAGCCCTTTAAAGTTTTCACATTGGGTCTTGCTGTGTTGCTTGGTTGTCCAGGCTGGGTTTGAACTTGCAGTCCTCTCCCAGAGTGCTGAGGTGACGGGCATGTGCTGCCGTACCTGGCTTCTTTCGTTCTTTTTAATGTCTGCCTGCTATTAGAACCTCTTGAGGTATGAATCATTTCTTTAGCAAGTCTGTACTGGCAGAAATTTCAGACTTGCAGTGTTTCATTTTTACCATGTTGCACTGAATTTACGCATGTACTCGTAGATCCGTGAGGAAATGCCAGTGAAATGCTCTGCTGTCTTTAGTTATTTAAATTCATAAGTAGTTAAATAAAAGTATAATGAAATGATATAAAAATTTAACAGATCTTGCTGATTGCCCAAAGAACTTGTACTAGCTTTGCACTCCTGCTGGATGGCTTTTCTTTGTCTTTCTAACACAAGTACAGTATCAGATTTAAAAAAGATATGTTGCCCATGTTATAAGTGAACATAGTATTTCACTGTTTCTCTCACTGTTTCTCCTGTGACATACGTGGACACAGGTCTTGTGTATGAGTTGGTGAGTGCACATGGTGACTCACTGTGTCCTCTCCGTGAGCGAGGTACCGCGTCTCGCAGGGTCCCTGATGTTCCCCACCCCCAGAGGTCACTGCATTCTCGCTTGTCCTACGGCGGGGAGCTCCATATCTTCTCGGATTTTGTGTGGCATCAGAGTCACAGGGGCCAACTCCTTTGGGGAATGTCTTCTGTGGGAGGAGGCCCCTCAGCTCTGCCTGGACGGCACCTCCTCTCAGGCCCTCCTGTGCTACGCCGTGTTCTGTGAGTCCTAGAGTCAGTTAATATTTGCCCACTCTGGGGGAGTCGGTGTGGCTGCCTTTCTGCTTCTCTGCCCAGTGGTCGGTCAGTCGGTCGGTCCATTAGTCACTGAGAGTTGAACTCAGGTCCTTGTTCTGAGCAGCACACCCCCCACCCTTTTAATATTTTATCTATTTTTTTGAGACCTAGTCACTACCCCTGAGTCACTAAATTCCCCACACTGGGCGTGAACTTGCCTTTCTCCTGCCTCAGCGCCCCAGAGTGCCGGGGCTACAGGTGTGTGCCCCTCTACCAAGTCCTTTGTTTACATTTGAATGTGTCAATGTGTCTTGTACTAAACTATGAGTTTCCGGAGGGTCAGAAGGTTATTGGCTTATTAATTTTTGGTACCATGACTGGGACCAGAGCACTTACACATCTTAGTATTTGTGTAAGAAATATGTGCATAGAAGTGAATGAATTTCTTTTAAATGTCTGTAGGTGAAGTGAAAAATTCCCCTGAAATCTCTATATCCCAGAGTTTACAAGCCTCAAAGGACACTTTAAGAGCTGAAAGAGAAGAAATTAGATCTGTAGACATCATTAATGTATTGCTGAATTTTGAAATTAAAGAGGTAGGTAATTGTTATGTTTTTGTAAAGGGAGGTAAATTAATGGATATTTAGAATTATGTGTATTAAAATAAGCTTGCAGGTAATTCATATGGTTGGAAAAAATTCTAGGCAGTCTATTTACATGTAATGATGATTAAAAATTGAGAGTTTAAGGAAGAATTTTGTTTGGGGGAAGCTGGTTTCCTGTAAGTTCCTTTTTATGATTATGGGACAGCTGGAATGTGCCTGACTTCACAATTTTTATCATCTAAGAATAGCAGGAAAGGTAAATAGTGGTTGCAAAATCCTTTACGAATGTTAGAAGTTGTAAAGAGAATAAAATCTACCCGGTGTCTACATTGGCTACATCACATTACTCGCATAGGATTGTACTAAGTGAATGTGCGCCCCATGTACAGATAGCTGAGGGAGAAACAGGTGGGTTCCCCATGTTTTTGCACACATTCAGTGCGTGTTCATGGCATGTGATGGGCACCAAGTCACACAGCTCCAAGCTCTGGAGTAGTCGTTTCCCGTTGAAGATGTGGTGGGGTGGTTTCTGTTGGAGCCTGTGCTGTTGGTGTAGAGAGGGTATGTTTAAGCAGACGGAGGTGGCCGGAAGTGTTAACTTCAGTTGATGTTTTAAAAGAGCAATAGTAAGTAATCTGAGAAAAGGAAACCAGAAAGGGGCTGGGGCAGGATGGATTCGGACGCATGAAGTAGTGAGTGAACAAGCACTGCGGTTACAGGGCCCACAAGGAGCTCTCTCCGAAGTCCTGTCCTCATTGCATAATTGTGTAAAGGTTGTGCCCTTTGTCTGAGCTATGGGCTCTGTGTTTGCATTGTAGTTAGATTTTTTTTTTTTTAGTGTATTTGGTACAGGGTCTCACTATGCAGCTCGGACTCGTAGTGATCCTCCTGTTTTCAGCCTCCCCAGCACAGGGATTACAGGTGTGTGCCACCGTGCCTGGACTTGATGGCCGGCCCAGTGCACCCAGGCATGTGGTTCTGGGGGTTGAACCCCTGATCCCTGTGCTCGCCTCAGCAGGCACTTAGTCTACTGAGCTATCTTGTCGGCCCTTGAAACTAGATTCTTGATTGTTAGATGTTCAATATTTTTTCTATAAAATATCCAACTTACTGAAGATTTTAAGCTTGGTAATTGAAAGATTGACAGGTAATCATTGTTTTGGCAGGTATGTAATTAATATATGTAGACGGAAAACCCATCAGTCCATTTCAGTCATTGGTAATAGTTGTCATGATAGTTTCCTTCCCAGGACGGCGTGTGGGGAGGAGAAAAGCACTAGGGAGGAGTGGTGGCGCTTCAGGTGGAGTGAGCACAGATGTGTCCCAGGCAGCGAGGGAGGCAGCCTGCAGTCCCCAGCGGAGGGGGACATTTTCACACTGTGAACCTTGCAGGTCCGTCGCTCTTACCATTAATTGCTCGTGTATTGGTGAAGTAGTTGTAACGCTGGTACATTCTTGTAGGTTGTGGTTACGCTGATGAGAAAAGCAGGAAAGGCTGGTAGGCCGCTGCTTGTGCTCAACGTCCTGCAGCTGGGAGCGGAAGCGCGAGCCCGACCCTACGACCTGACTGCCGAAGCCCGTCTGCAGCAGATCCGCGCGCAGTGCTTGGACTTCTCTGGTCAGTGAGTCGTCGCGAGGCAGGGGGGTCTCTTGGTCACCGCTGAACATTGGCGTCGCTATAATTATTTAGATTAAGCATATTGGTACGAAGAATTTGATGGTTTAAAAATTTACCATCTTACATAGTTATTCGTATATACCACGTAGTGTAAAGTAGAGCATTTCTGGAAAAAAGAGCTGTGTGTCTTCACGGTGTGTAACCCTAAAGTACCTACAGGAGGCAGCTTTTCCTGGAACTCAGCAGTGAGAACTGGTACATCAGGAAACCTGGGCCAGGTACACACGGGACCTACTCGGTGCAGTTGAGTCCATTTTTACTTTAAAGTCACATGGATTTTAAAATTTGTTCTTATAGCACTGTGCTTATGAAAAATGAAATTTCAGCAATATAGAAGTTTACAGACGGAAAAATTTCACACAGTGGGGAAATTTATTTTCCCTCAAGTAAAAACTAAATTTTTATTTGGTAAGTTTCTTAGATCTTTGAATCCGTTTTCTCTTTAAATTTGAACTTATTAGTGCATGTGTGTGGTGCCTAGTGTTGTCCGCCTGCTGTAGAGTCGGTCCAGTTACACACCTTTGTTCCTTTGTTACCCCCATCCTCGATCTGCTCCCCTCCTGTGACCCATCATTATTCTGCTCTTTATTTTTATTCTGGGTTTCGCATGTAAGAGAAATGATGTGATATGAACCAACCTTTAAAGTTTCTGGACCTTTAAAGTTCATTAGAAAGCTGTGGAACAGCTTTAAAAAACAGGCTTGTACCTGGTATGGTGGCATGTGCCTGTGATCCCTGCACTTGAGAGGCTGAGGCAGGAGAATCACTGAGTTCAAGGCCATCCTGCGCTACATAAGTGAGTTCAGGGCCAGCCCACACTATATAGTGAGACGCTGTCTCAAAACAAAACACAAACAACAAAACACCCAAAGAGAACAAGCTTGTGTTGAGAGTAATCCCTACTTTATGTATTTTTTAGCTTTGTTCTTTATAGCCTGTTATCTGTGATTTTTTCAAATGAGTGTAATACTTGCAGTATAACTAGTGTAATACTGGTTACGATTGACTGGCGCTGGGTTTGGTTGTTTATACAGAGTCTCTTTTTAAAGCCAGGCTCTTGAGGCCTGATTTCTGTACAGTATAAATAATGCATATGCTGGTGTAGAATTCTGAGTGTTGATAAGCACACGCTCTCGGAGCCTGCTCTTGCCTCTGGTGAGACGCTGACCAGCCTGCTCTCTCGCCCCCAGACTCGGGAGGAGGCCCTCTGCACCTCGTGAGCTCCTCTCACGCGACCGAAGAGCCGCTCCTGAGGATGGCCCTGACCAAGGTACCGGCTTTCCTCTTCCTGTGCGCGTACGCAGAGTCACGTCTGCTCCCTTCGTAGTTAGTGTCCCGGTTTCCTCCCCTCAAAGCGTCTGTTCTTTACACTTGGGTGCTTGTGGTGACGTGTGGAGGCGCCTGCGTGCTTAGCCTGCTGGCTCTCCTGGGTGTGGGCGAGTGGAGACCGCGAGGCTCTGCTGTGCCCTGGAGCACGGCGCGTTGTCGTTGGCCGCAGACGCGCTCTCCCTACTGTAGATCTGTCCGTTAGCATTTCTCCAGATAGTTTCTTCATCTGTAGGATGTGAAGTGTGGTTATGTGGTCAGGTTTTTTTTTTTTATTGTATTCTTTACCTATAAGAAATATGTTTTATGGTGTTTGCATAGCATGCTTTCAGAAGTAAAAAATATGTATGTATACAGTGAACGAAATTTTAGTGTTTGTAATCCTGTGGTTTAATTATGCACTATCTGTAGGCTGACTGCGATGGACCAGAATTTAAAACTGTTCACGAGAATACCAAACAGAGACTAAAAGTGAGTTTTTAATGATTAAGTGCAGCTCCATAGCCGTTTCCAGTTGTAAAGTTGTTCTGAAATTAGAATAGTGTGAAAATAATAATAGATTTAATTTTGTAGATACGACAAGTGGATATAGAAATCCACTGGGGATATAGCTCAGCAGCACAGTGCCTGCCTGGCAAGTGTGAGGTCCTGACTTCAATTTCTGTACTGAAAAGAAAAGGAAAAAGAAACAATTGAAATGCACTTTTTATAAAAATTGATTTTGAGTGGTAAAAAGATTACTTGTTTCTGAGAGGTAAATTTCTCATTACTTACATAACAAATGTATCATGGGATAACAGATAATGTACTTTTAAGGGAATTCTGCTCACTTTACTCCACCGTAGTTGTTTGGCCTGATATTGATTAAGCATTAAATATTAGCCCTGAGTATTGGTTTTAGGATTAAGGACATTGCATTCCCTTTGCACAAGTGTAATCAGTGTCAGGCCGCTTCCTGTGTCTCTACTTAAAACTCAGATCCTGTTGAAGGTAGAGTTTTGTATGCAGGAGTGGGAAGAGTGCTGACTTACTGCATGATTAGGATTAACACTGTTGTATCGTTTCTAAGAATTGATGCTGATAATTGTTGTTCATTCTTTCTAAAGGCGCTTGATTGAGCTCTTCTTGCGCTAGTTGTATATGTTGAAACTAAACGTAAACATGTTGGCACGTCTGACTGCCTCTCTAATTGTTCATTATTTTAGGTTTCGTTTTCATCCTTGGACTTAGTCCTCCACTTGGAAGCTTTGCTTTCCCTTATGGATTTTTGGTCATCGGCAGTTCCGTCCTCCAAGTCTGCTTTTCAGAAGGAATCTGAGCTGAAACCACTTGTGGCCGAGTCCAGAAGTATTGCCACCAAAGCCGGTATTCGTTTTTGAGTAATGGTCTAATGTTTTCTCTCAAGTAATAGCTTAATGTATTTTAAGCTAACAGGATATTGATCCTCTTGATGTCATACCTGATCTGACATTTAAGTTAACTTCAAAGGAAGGTTAAGTGTTTCCTTATAGGATTATATGTCAACTTACTCTGAAGGGTTTTAAATAAATAGTTTGATCATCTGTGTACCTTTTACTTTACTGTCTAAACAGCATCTGCTTTGCATTGACATCTCTGCGTTCTTCAGTGCAGCAAAGATGAGAAAGGAAGTTAATTATAGGCGCTGTCGGGCAGAGTGCTAAGACCCTGTTACGCTCAGCCCTGTCTGCAAGCTCTGTGGACAGCAAAGGGCCCTTATGGAAGAGGCCTGCCCTGGCTCTGTTCTAAGCAGACGCGTGCTCCTGCTGTGCCCAGATGGGGGCGAGGTCCCTAGGCCGGCATCGCGAGCTGTGAGAGTTAGCTGCGCAGCGTCTGTAGTGAACGCACTGTGCGTCGCCGGGGTCTGTAGTGCCGTCGCATCTGGGAATGAACTCGGGTCGTCTTGCGTGCCAGGAAGGCGCTGTGCCACTGAGCTGTGCCCAGCCAGGCAGATGTGATTTTTTAAACCTTGGAACATAGCACTTTGTTCTAAACTAGAGCAACAGAGTTTTACCCTTTTTATTTTTTAAAATTTTATTTATTTTACCCTTTTTATTATTAATGTGCTTGCCATAGTAGTGCAGTGTGTTTAGAGGTAATATCGTTAACACCCTTCTGTTATGTAATGTGTATGTACACTACATAGGAAAACAGCTGAATACGTGAAAATACATGCTTAAAATTATGGTAACTTGAAAGCAACATTACTTAAAAAAATGCAGTCTTGTGGGTTTGCTGTGCGATTGGTCGTCCTGGTTTGGTGACACATGTTTGATATTAGGGAAGAACAACTCGTTACCATAGTGGGGATTAATGCCTAATGCTTACGCTCACAATTTGCAGGCTGATCGGGAGGGCCTTTAATAAAGAACTGTAGTCCTTTATATTCAAATCCTGTTGAATTTATTTAGAGTTCTGGATGGAGCCGTAACATACATTCTAGTACAACTAGATTGCTTCCATAGCTCAATAACATGTGTTGTGCCATAGTGAATGGTGTGAATTGTGCTAACAGAACGTCACGTTTCAGTTCTGTATTATTGCTTTGATAAAATGTATGACGTGACAGATTTTAAAATCAAAATTTTGGACTAATAGAATTCTCAAATTTTGATTTAAAGGATTTTTACTCTATTATGTGGCAAAGATCACCATCAGGGTGTTAATAGTTGGGCTGAATCTTAATTTGAAGGGTAGCTGCTGTTTTTGTTTGGTTGACATTTGAAAGTTGACTCACAGTTCACATTATCCTGTGGAGCGCTCCCTGCAGTTCCCTGCCTGCAGGGCGCCTTGCCGGCCAGGTCGTCTGCTGCGCTCATCATCTGGGCTCCGCAGGCGCAGTTTCTGTTGTCTCTGTTCTCACATTCTCTGTCATCCGTTATCTCTTTCAGTACCTAGCACGGTTGCTAAAGAGGATGTGTTCGAGTTAAAAGTCACAGCGGAGTTGGACGCTTTTAACGTCTTCATTTGTGATCAGAAGTGTGCTATAGCCGACATTAAAATACACGGTGAGTGATTATTCCGTGGTGTAGGTCTTTCTGTTTCTTCACATGAACATCCAGGAAAAGTGAGCGTGGGTAGCATGAATTTCTTACAGGTCATGTTGTATTGTTTATTTACACTGAAGACTAAAGCAACTTGTGTACACGTATATTTGGAAATGTTGGTAGCAAATTTATTGTAATTCTTTACTGAGTTGAGACATTCTATGTTTTAAAAAAAATTCCAGAGTATATCTGAGGCTTAATCTGTTAGTGTACTTGTATTTTCAGAGTAACTTTAAACTGAGAATTGAGTATCATGACAACAGGTTTCAAAATGTTAAAAAAAATAATTGCCTTACATCTTTGCCTGCTTGGCCTGTGCAGCAGAGGCACAGAGTTTCTGAAAGGCATCGTGGGAGCTTTTCCTCTTAGCAGCTCCACGGAAGGGTGAAGCAGCCCCCTCTTCCCACTTCTCCTTCCCCTTCCCTTTTCCCTTCCCCTTCCTATTCTCCTCCTCACTCCCCTCCCTCTTCCCCTCCCCCTATGGGATTGAATCCAGATGTGGTATTGAGCTGCTCTCAGTCTGTCTCTTAAACTTTTTATAATTGTGAGCTAGGGTCTCCTTAAGTTGCTAAATTGCCCTGGTGGGGCTTGAACTTGGGATCCCCCGACTCAGCTCCCTGGAGTTCTGGGGTTACGGGCCGCCGCCAGCAGATCTCGCGTTTGTATTTTTTTAAACTCACAACTTTTATGTGTGAGCTGCATGCAGTGGCTGGAGGTGCTGTGACCTTGGATGTTGGTGTTGTCAGTATGTCTGATGATAGCATTTATTCACTCTGCCTGTTGGGAGTATGCTACTGAACGTCAGCACTATTAAACTGACTCACGCAGGCAGAGTGAACCTTTGTAAAAGTCTGGCCTCCCGCAGGGATGGGCGCCTCGGTTTCTGTGAAGCCAAAACAGACGGATGTGTTCGCCAGACTTCAGAACATCATCGTTACAAATGCTGATTCACTGTCCATTCACAAAAAGGTAATTTAAAATCGATCACTCGCGTTCTCCTGTTCTTTGTGTTTGCGATGCTGCTTCGCTGTCCTGTGGGCGTTCGTTAGTCTCCCACGAAGCCTTCTCTACGGAGAGAGAGGAAGATGGTAACCGTGTGCTTTCGTGTCGCGTGCGCACGAAGCCTTGCGTATCCTCCTGGAAGTGCAGTGCTGGGTCAGGGTTGCCTTTAGAGAGGGTTCTTTCGGAGGTCGCCAGAAGGGGTTCTCAAGTATGTTTTAGCTGATACTGTTTAGGGTTCAGTCTGGCTGCTGCTTCTTACCGGAAGGGTTCTCTGGTGCGGACACTTAGGGTAGAGAGCAGAAGGGCCTGCGGCCCTCCCTGTGAAAGCTGGGGTCTCGTTCTTCAGGCTGTCTCCATCCTGGGAGAGGAAGTCTTCAGGTTCCAGATGACTCTCTACCCGGACGCCACGGCGGGAGAGGCCTACGCCGACGTGGCCAACGTGGATGGCAGTCTTAGTTTCAAAGTGGGCTGTATCCAGATTGTTTATGTTCATAAATTCTTCATGTCTCTTTTGGTAAGTTTGTTTTAATTATATTGATTTCTCATCGAGGCCTAAATAGTTTGCCTGTGCACGTGAACCCACAGTAGAGATCTTCCCAGAGCGCTGTTGTAGACACCCCATGCTGGCCAGGTTACCACAGTCAGAGAGACCCTTAGATGATGGTTAACTAAGTGACTTTGAAAAGTTCATTATTTTTGGGTACACAAGCTGTCATTCTCTGGCATTTTCTTAGTTCTCTACTTTACAAGTACTTTTTATTTTTTAATTTGGGACTTTGTAGTAGTACTTGCTTATGGAAATGCCCTTAAAGATGTTGAGCTAGAATAATTTTTAAAGAAAGCTCACCAGGTATCTGAAGAGCTAATATTGGAACTTACAGCTTTTACTTACCTTTGTGATCAGTAAAGCTATAGAATTCCTTTGTTAGGCTCAAGGGAGGCCTGTGCTGAGAAGCTCAGGCCTGCTCCTGCCGCCTCCTCGCAGCAGGGCTGCCCAGCAAGGCTTGGCTTACCTAGAAAGTAAGTTATTTTGGGAGAAGAGGAAGAAAATGAATCCTTTGTATTGTTAATGGATGGTCATTAAGACCATTGTCTTAAGAGTAATTGCTTCTTCATTGGGAAAAATCTCTTTTTAGTTGCAAGGAGATGAAGTCCATCCTGCTATAAAGAACGCTGGATTCTGACTCAGGACGCCAGGGCAGTAGGCAGTTAGCCATTTTTGCCCATTCTTTTTTTATAATTTTAGGGAAGGATCTACAGGGTGTTCAGGGTCTCACTACTAGATCAGACTCATAGCCATTCTCCTGTTTACAGCCTCCCAAGAGCTGGGATTTCAGGTGCGCCACCACACCCTGTCTCAGTTGCCATCTCTGTGCCCTGGGGGCTGGCTGGGCAGGCCTGGGGATCGAACTCCCGGCCCCTGCACCTACTTGCAGGCGCTTTAATCCGTTGAGCTATTTAGCCGGCCCAGTTTTTGCCTATTCTTGTATGGTATATTTTAAAACATATTCTCAGTAAAAGCTTCCACAAACTTAGTTTCTAAGAGTAAAGTTTATTCACTGTGACCTAGCGGTGCAGAATAGATCCCACTGTTGGAGAGATAAAGGAATGGGAGCATTCCTTTCATTTGTATTTGCATGTAGAATAATGAATAGTCATTAATAGAAAGGATTTTAAAAAGCCGTTAACAAAATTTTGACATAAAATTAATTGTAAAAATATATAAATGAAACTTAAAGAATCTTTCCTTCCTGGTGGTGGCTGTTGTTAATAGCTCAGAGTGTGTGTTTCTGGGCTTTATTCTTCTCCACATAGGCAATCATGAATAATCTCTTTCATGTTACCGCACTTATTTAATTGGTACTTTTGCAGTACATATTTTTGAATGTATTTTCCTTTGGAGAATAAATGTCTTTTGGGGGGAGCTCTTTCACCTTCAGTCTCATCCAACAGAATTTCCTCAACAACTTCCAAACTGCCAAGGAAGCCCTGAGCACGGCCACAGCGCAGGCTGCGGAGAGAGCCGCCTCCAGCGTGAAGGACTTGGCCCAGAAGAGCTTCCGCCTGCGCGTGGACGTGGACCTGAAGGCTCCGGTCGTCGTTATCCCTCAGTCCTCAGCCTCGCCCAACGCTGTTGTAGCGGATCTGGGCTTCGTCAGAGTGGAGAACAGCTTCAGCTTGCTTCCTGTGGAACATTACTCTCTTCCCCCCGTCACTGATGAGATGACAGTACAACTCACTGAGCTGAAGCTGTCCAGGTAAAAATACCTGCTCTAGCCGTGCAGAATATACTGGATGGAGAAGGTTTTTAAAAATTTTTTTTATAGGTTAAAATAGTGATTTGTGACTCTTATTCTTTGTTGTAATTATGAAACCTTGATGATTGTGTTTGGTCAGTTGTCAAGAGTGGTGTACTTTATAGTATGTGTATTTTGTGTTCCTAAACATAGAATGTTATTTTCCATTTTATAAAATTCATGTGCTAAAAAAAATGGCAGCTCAGTAGCTGGGCATGGTGGTCCTCTCCTGTGTCCCGGCAGCCTCAGTGCCTAGAGCAGAGTCTCTTGAGCTTCCGAGTCAGGGCCACCCTCGGGGACATGGCAAGAGCCTGTCTCAAAGTAAGGAACAAAGAGAACATGCATGGTGTGTGCGGCTTTGCTTCCAGATACGCACTTACTTAGCTTGCTCGTAGCTTGCTCCTTTTTTGTAAGTGGGAGAAAACTCCCCAGATGCAGTAGGATGTAGCGTGCTAGGTGAGGCGTTCGGAGGATGCTGAGTCCAGAAGAGCGCGTGCTGGCCTGGTAGTGGCAGGAGGGCTTCCTTCCTCGTATGGGTGGGTGCTGGCGGGACACCCACCAGCCCGAGGTGGCTGTCCAGGTGGTCGCCTTTAGACTGGGCGAGTCTTTCCGCTTGAGTCTGGAAGAGCAATAACCTGCTGCGGCCGAGCCGAGCGTCGGTCGCTTTACTTCTTTCCGCAGGGTGTAGCACTTGCTTGCGAGATACTGCGCTAGTCGCCGTATCGTGCGTTTTTTGTGAGACATAGTAAGTGATAGAGTCATAATTTCTGGAAATTACATCTTCTTGATAATGGCATGTAAGCTTCATTCTGATTTACACTGATTTATTAAAAGAAGTATGTCCTAAAAGAGTTCTGATAGTAGCTTTTAAGTGTTTTGGAGGGTGCCATGTGGCAACTTTACTCAGTGTCGGAGTCCTCATTTTAAGTGTAAATTAAAAAAAATATATATATAGGGGGCCGGGGAGATGGCTCAGTGGAATAAGCGCTTCCCTGGCAAGCACAAGGGCCTGAGTTCAATCCCCGGTTCCGCAAAAAAAAAAAAATCTATCTATCTATCTATGTATATATATAGGTATATAATTTTGTTTTTCCTCTCAGAACTACTTTGCAGGCTGACTTGCCACAGCTTGATATTGAAATTTTAAAACCAGTCAACATGCATTTGTCTATACAACGAAATTTATCAGCAACATGGTATACACAAATTCCAGGAGTAGAGATCAAAGGAAAACTCAAGCCCATGCAGGTACGTAAGTCCCGTTAGACAGGCGGGCATGGCTAGCAGACCTTCGTGGCTGGTCCTGGTTCAGCACTCCCGTAGTGAAAGGGCTGCCTTGTTAGCTGCAAATGAGACTGTCCTTCTGTTGCACTTGCATTTCATTTTAATTAGCAACATGATAAAGATAGCAAAAATTTTGAAAGAGCTGGGCATGGTGGTCCTCTCCTGTGTCCCGGCAGCCTCAGTGCCTAGAGCAGAGTCTCTTGAGCTTCCGAGTCAGGGCCACCCTCGGGGACATGGCAAGAGCCTGTCTCAAAGTAAGGAACAAAGAGAACATGCATGGTGTGTGCGGCTTTGCTTCCAGATACGCACTTACTTAGCTTGCTCGTAGCTTGCTCCTTTTTTGTAAGTGGGAGAAAACTCCCCAGATGCAGTAGGATGTAGCGTGCTAGGTGAGGCGTTCGGAGGATGCTGAGTCCAGAAGAGCGCGTGCTGGCCTGGTAGTGGCAGGAGGGCTTCCTTCCTCGTATGGGTGGGTGCTGGC